TGATCAAAAGAGAGAGGCATGGCAGTTGTGCGTAAGCAGAGACAGTAGAACTTGGTCTGTCTAGAATAAAAGGTACTCCAGATCTAACTTGCCACCATATTTTCCCCCAACCCCAAAGCAGCAAGACTGGCTGCAGAGGGGGCAACAGCCACCCATGAGTTTTCTTGTGACTGCTCTTCTTAATCAAAAGTTCTTACATCACCAAAGACATTTAATCAGTAACTTTTGTTTCTAATTATTATGTAGTAAAAACTTTGATGGGTCTCATTACATGCATATATGCATATGTATGGTAGGCTTGGTTTGATAACATCAGCTAGGTACACAAATTAGACATTAACTGGTATAAATGATCAGAAACCAGTTCAAATCTGTAAAACAACAGAAGTTCAGTGTACATAAACCACTTTCAAATGGTCTAAACAAGTTTAAGAAGAACCTGGATAGATGTAGTATTAGACTTAACTGATTTAGGTTACATTGGTTTATTAAATTTCTGTCCCAAATCCCTTCCAGATTCAAGTTAATTCACAGTCCCCCAGAATCCAAGGTTGCTTTGCACCTCCCCTGCAAATCCCTCCTCACAGAGTGGGTGGGCTAGCCTTGGCCCAAGCCATCTGCTCCAGCCAAGAAGGGAGTTGTGCTTTGGCACCCTCCAGCTTCTGGCCTGAGCCACAACAGGTTTGTGGCTGCATTTCCAGAATCAAAAAAGTGAATGTCTCTTCACTTGTTTATCAGTTTGATCCACACGGTTTAGACTAGAGACCCTCTGGGTCAAGATTCCAGGGAGCTCACGAGAGGAGGACCTGATGGTGGGAGTCTACTATAGACCTCCCTACCAAGAAGAGGAGAACGATCAAGCATTCTCCAGGGAACTGACGGAGGCAGCCAGCACTAAAGACCTGATTGTCATGGGCTACTTCAACTACCCTGACATCTGCTGGGAAGACCATTGAGTCAACTCAAGCAGATCAACCAACTTCCTGGCAGCTATTGACAACCTGCTCTTGACACAGGCTGTGGAAGGACCAACTAGGGGTAAAGCCTCTCTGGACTCAGTGCTGACCAAAGGGCAAGACATGGTAGGCGACGTGAAGACTGGAGGTACTTTGGGTGACAGTGAACATGATCTGACTTCAGAAGGGCAGACTTTGGTAAACTCAGGAGACTAGTCTGAAAGGGACCTGGGGGTAACAGTCGATCAGAAGATGAGTATGAGACAACAGTGCCATGAAGTCACTAGCAGAGCAACAGAACCGTGACGTGCATCAGCCGATGTGTTGCAAACAGATCCAGAGAGGTGCTCCTCCCCCTTATATTCGGCACTGGTGAGGCCGCAGCTGGAGTAGTGTGTGCAGGTCTGGGCACTGCACTTCAGAAAGGATGTAGATAAGCTCAAAAAGGTTTAAAAAAGGGCCACCCATATGATTAGGGGCCTGGAGGATAGGTCCTATAAGAAACTCCAGGAACTGGGTTTATTCAGTCTGAACAAGAGAAGACAGAGATAACATGATAGCTGCCTACACGTATGCCAAAGGTAAACACCAAGATCTAGGGCAGCAACTCTTCAGAAAGGCATTCTTTGGGAGGATGAATACCAATGGGCACAAGCTGATTGAGGAAAAATTTAGGCTGGACATAAGGAAAAACTTCTTTTTGGTAATGGTATCTAGAATCTGGAACACGCTCCCAGCAGAGGTGGTGCAGTTGCCATCCTTGGAGTTGTTCAAGGAGGCTAGACAAGCAACCCTTTAAGCTCATTTGAGCGCAATTACCTCCTGTCCATGGCAGGGGACTGGACTTGATGATCTGATAGATCCCTTCCAGTCCTTTGATTCTGTTATTCTAATCTATGAAGAATGAATTGATTCAGCTTTGTGATTTTTGACTGTCTGTACTTAGCTGTCATGTCTAGATTCAGTGTTCAATAAGAATGTTAAGAGTAGAAGAAATGAGCTAGCTATAAACATTCATACATGAGAAGTGTACATTAACAACCTATACAAGAAAAAGTAACAATCAATTACTCTTTTCATACTTACTTCATTAAACTTACCCTATAACAAGAATGCAATTTGTATATGATGTGAATTAATTCATTATAATCAGGTTATAAGACCCAAAGATCAAAAGGAAATATAGTCATGCCACTGAAACTTCAACTCTTTGCTCTTCTTGGGAAAACACAGAAATTTGGGAAGCCCAGAACCAAAGACCCAAAATTCCCCTGTATGTTTTATTTATTCAATTTTTAAAACATTTGTATAGTCAAAACATGTATAAGAAGAATAAGTACAAATTCAATGTTCTAGTAGCGTCAATCTAATCAGATTCCACCATCCTAAACCATGCATTAATATTTTCTTCACTTTAGCCCTCTCACGCAAAAAGGTTACAAATAAGACTGCAAGTAGTCTCTCAGCTACCACGTAGTAGTGTTCAAGAAACTTCTGCTTTCCAAGTTGAAAGAGAATGTGGTTAAACACCAGAAAGGGAAGAGACCTATTTGAATTAGAGGACAATACTGGCATCAGAACCAGTAGTGTAAACTAAGTATGAATAAATTTAGGCTGATAATTAGAAGAAGCTTCCTGAACAGCCTTTCAATAGGAGTACTGGCAAGAAAGTTAACTAGTCTTAAGATGGAGCTCAATAAATTTATAAAGTAAGATTAAATTATGTGGTTGTCTGATAGCAGGGGACCGGACTCAATGAGCCATGCAGTACTTTTAAATCTTATGTGCCTGTACTTATAGTATGTTCTCCCTCTGCAACCTCAGAGGGAGGTCAAGCCTCCACAAGGGAAGGTCTTCCCTAGGGCTGCTCCTGGGACTGCAATTGCAGTGCCCTGTGCTGAATATTTGTGGCCTACCACCACAATCTAGCCCTATGATAAAGGACAAGCTTTATACGATGAACATAAATAGAATTACAAAGCCTTGCTCAACATGATTCTCCATTGAGCAAGTACCTTTTTATACCTGTATAATGTTATTTGAGCTACTGGAGTTACACCAGTATAAAAAGTACAAGTATCAAGATATTTAGAAAGTAGAAAGACTACAGTAGTTGAATTAAAAAAAAAACCTCTTGTACCATCCACACAGTGATAACAAATGACATCCTCGGTCATCCGTCCCCAGAGCTCCTTAAACATGCCAAGTGAGAGGGGTTATAAAACAGAATCCTATACAAAGAGAGCTTTCCAAGGGGGTGACCACCTGCCATTTACCAACCTCGCATCTGAAAGGAAATGGATTTGGCTCTCACTGCTCAGACCCGATGAAAAATGTTTTGCATTTAAAAGCTTGTCTAACTATCCCAACTATACAGTTAGCCCAATAAAAAGATAATCACCCCATGAAATCCTTGCCTTTCACATCCATCCCAGCCAAAATTTGAGAGGGAGTTAACACAGTCTTATGGGGAATGGCATGAACACTCTTGACAGGTCAAAAGCATTCAGCATGGGGTACATAGCAATTTGAGGGAGAGCAAGTCCCTTCTAACACTGAATATATGCAGTCCTTCTGTCATGCCTAAGCAGAAAACCAAACTAAACAGTGTTGGGGGGGGGGGAGAAATCAGGAAATACAGTTTTTAGCAGACCTAAATCAGCAAAACTGTCCTTTTCCCAAGCAAGGAAGCTTAGAAGCACACCAGTAGTTGTTCAGACTTAGCATCAAAATGGCGCTTAGTAGCAGTTTTTCTCTGATGCTAGCCAATATCTTCTCCTTTCTTATGGAAACATTGTCAATCTCATCAAATAAAGAACCAAATAATACACTCCCTTAAATCTAGATTTACTTCCCATTTTTACATCTTGTAAGCTGTGCTCTGTATTCAGCCTACCATATGTTATTCCTTCTATTGGGCATCTAAGTGTGATTCTATTTCACCCTGCTCAGGTCATGGAAAAGCAGGTGATAAAAAATGTCCATGTGGAGTAGGAGTGGGTAGAGGGGAAGGGATCTTTCTCCTCCTGGATGCTTTTTTCTGACTCAGTCTTAAGGGTAAAATGATGGTGGTTTTACAGAAGAAGATATATTAATTGATTTTTAGGACTTGAACAGGATGGGACCCCTGGAGTACTGAGGGATTAGTGCAGGGCAGTTTCCCTGCTATACAAACTGCTTGTCCAGAAGTGCTGGAGGTACTCTTCAGAAGTTAAATTACTGGCTTTTATAAACTTTGATCTTAGTATGCCCACTCTACCTTGTTCATCCCCAGATTAATGGTTTTCCTTTACTTTTTTGTAGGCCTTCCAACTTGTCTTTTGTGTACATGTCTGGGAACCACAGTCTACTGTGATGATCATGAACTCGACGCTATCCCCCCACTCCCCAAGAAAACCACCTATTTCTACTCCCGTTACAACAGAATAAAAAAGATCAACAGAAATGACTTTGCTAACCTAAGTATGGATGCCATACAAGTTTTAAGACCTAATCAGTTTTAACATGGATCTAGATATAAATTTACGTTAAATGAAACAGTTGCTTGTGACAGCAGAACCCTAGACTTGTGACTGGAGAGGATACAGAAAATAAAAATCGTAGGAAAATATCCTCCTCTTAGAGCTTCATGAATACTAATAACATTTGTGCTTGTTAATGGGAATTAGGATTGGAAGTTATTGGAACCATTATATAATGCAATGAAAGAAGCAACCTTAGGGAGAGAAGTAATTAATACTCTACCACACTCGGGTGTGCGTAATTCAACAGTGATCATTTGTAGTAATGAAACTGCCTTTGCTTTTCCATTCCTACTTTACCTTTAAAAACATGTATAATTACTATTATTTATTTTTCTCACAGACAATTTAAAGAGGATTGATTTGACAGAAAACTTTATATCTGAGATTGATGAAGATGCCTTCAGAAGATTGCCTCAGCTTCAGGAGCTGGTGCTGCGTGATAACAAAATAAGGCAGCTCCCTGAGTTACCTGCCACCCTGACATTCATTGATATTAGTAACAACAGGCTGGGTCGCAAAGGAATAAGGACTGAAGCATTCAAAGTAAGTTTGGGATTGACAGAAAATAGCTTATCCTCTCTTTGGTTTAAATTGTGGACTGTCAGAAAAGTAAGATAAGGATTTGTTTTTACCTCCTTGCACTGGCTACCGATGTCACTGATATGAGCCTAGAAGGAAAAGCAGGCTTCCTAGAGCTCTTGCATCCACCTGTTGGAGGCAGGCAGACAGGGCTAAGAGTAGGCAAGATCTCAGATTTATCCCTTCAGCATAGTCAGCATTGCAAAAACACCAGTATTTTTCAGATGATACATTGGAGCACATGAGTGTCCATAGAGCTAAGGGAGCTGATTTGCATCTTAGGCTGTTAGGGCATTTGTACACATGCTTGTGGTGTATAAATTAGCATAAACAGTGAACTGTGTGTCAGCACTGAAAAATGGCAGCAGCGTGCTTTTGAACTAAAACACACTGAAGATGTTTTAGTTCAAAAGTGCACTGCTGCCATTTTCTGTGCACTGATGCACATTTCACCACTTATATAAATTCAGGTGACACAGTGCAGTGCGTGTCAGCTCACATGTGGAGCAGATTCATGCCAGATCTCTGGTGCATCACAGCATGAAAATGTATGTGTATCAATGCCATTATTGTTTTGCTCCAGTAATACCCTGCCTCTAAAGTGGTTCATTATGTTGTGGTCTAGGGGTGTATTTTAATAAACACTAAACACTAACAATTTCAGGCCAGATTCATCATCTCAGCACTCTCTCTTACTACTCATTTGTTCCAAAGGAACCAGGTTTTAGCTATAACTGCCCAGTTATGAATGGGGAGGCAGCTTTCAGCTGCTCCCACCAGAACCAGAAGAGGAGGTATGTTATGGAAGATAGGAAGAGTCTCAAAGCAGGCCCCAGAACCAAGGCATCTTGATAGATCTTAGCATGGAAGAAATTCCATCTGCATAATACATACTTGCACCTTTTCTCCTTCAGCAAATAGGAGAAACAGAAAATACCTTTTCTCCTACAGCATGTAGGAATTAAAGTCACTGATAGAATATTACAGTCTGTCTAGAGAGGGATAAATTGAAACTTTATTGGCATGAGGAAGTTAATGCTGTGGAAAGAAAACCCAGGAGACCAGGTATTCTGATATTTGGAGTAACTATGGGCATCTTTACACATGCTCCAGGGGTATGGGCTGGAGCACTTTAATTAGTGAAGTTCTCAGGAGCTGTTCTAATTAAAGCACTGGCAGCATCTCATGTAGTCAATGCCCTGCACTTCAAAACGGCAGCAGGGATGCTTTAACTAAAGCTCATTCAATGAGCTATGATTCTGAAGCTCAGAAATGTTGAATACACAAGATGCTGAGGCTGCCAGACTCTGCTAATTAGCATAGTCCAGCAGACTCAATTAATTAAGTTTGCTCCAATGTTCTGTAATTACACTGCATCAAGGCAGGCATCCTGCACATCTAGTGGCACCCTATTAGAATATGCAGTTTCCTCAGTGTACTACTGTTGCACAACACTGGAAAGGGTGTAAAGTCCATCTTATTTCTGAAAAACTCATGACATATATATTTTAAGATATTATTTAGTGACTTTGCTATCCAATTGACGAGCCAAAGAAACAAGATAAACAAATGAGTCCAAAGGAAGGACTTCTGCAGAAGCTGGGAGAGGCAGCATTTCAAATTTAAGACAACAATGTGCTGAAAATGTTCTACTTAAACATTTGAGATTCCTAGTTATTATAACAAAACAGCTGATATTTAATAGTAATGGACTTTACATACAGGAATATCTGTAACTTTTTTTTTAAACCTGGAATCATATTGAACAAAATAAATTGGTTGTACGCAGGTTCTTTTTGTAGAGATGGAAGTAAGACCATGTCCTCTCTGTTGAAGTTTTTATAAAAATCTAGTACTTTATGAAACAACTTTCCTCTTTTTCCTTCTTCTTCCAGGATATGATTGACCTACAGCATCTTTACATCACTGACAATAACTTGGATCACATCCCACTCCCACTCCCTGAAAGTCTTCAAGCTCTTCATCTTCAGGTAAGCTAAAAAACTAGATATACATAACAATAAAAGATTGTGTTTAATTATCAGGAGGGAAAATAATATTAAGATGTGTTTTACTTCATGTAAATTCTGTCAGTCCACATGTTTCATGGGATACAATGATAAATCTGGGAATTGGATGCCAGAAGTGGGGGGGGTTTCCACTATGCACAAGACTAGGATTTTTGTGGGTGATAACTTTTACAGGACCAACTCTGTGGTTGGGATAGATTTAGCTAGCCTAGTAAAAGATATTACCCACAAAAAGTCCTTGCCTTGAGCAATTTCAGTCAGATGGCAGAAGCAGAAATTAAAATATGAAATAAGACAAAAAAAAAAGTCAGCCCAATCTAGATGTGACTCATTTACACACAAAATATATCTTTATTATGTTACAGGGGTGTAGGCTGTAGTTGCATTGGTCTAAGGATATAGGCAGACAAGGTTCTTTGGGTGAATCTGATATCTTTTATTAAACCAACTTAAATAGTTGGGGAAAAAATGTAGCAAGCTTTTAGGTTTAAAAACCCTGCAGAGACTTCCTTAGCCTGATGGAGGGTTTTTAAACCCGAAAGCTTACTAAAATATTTTTTCCAAACTAAGTTAGTCTAATAAAAGATATCAGATTCACCCAAAGAACCTTATCTGTCTTCATGATGTAACATTTTTTGCAAACATAAGGGTTTGATTTGCCAGTGGTATAATTCAGTCTTCAGTAATTCAATCATTTACCATTTTTGTCATCCTTAACTTGACATTTTTGGTTTTGTTTTTAGAACAACAATATTCAAGAGATGCATGAAGATACTTTCTGCAAAATGAAAGATGTTACTTATGTCCGTAGGGCTCTAGAAGACATCAGACTGGATGGCAATCCCATCAATTTGAGCAAGACCCCGTATGCTTATATATGTCTACCCCGTCTACCAATTGGTAGTCTCAGCTAAGCTTAGACAGAGACCAAAACTCATTTTCTATGATATGCTCCACAAAAATGAACAAGTCATTGCTACATAGAGCACAACACATAATTTTCAAAACTTATTAATTTGGAAAGCCGTGTTTATTGATAATTAGAATTGTAAAAGGTAAATCCATTGTCTATTGAACAATATAATGTACAATACTATAAACAATATATTAATTATAAGAATGCTTTGAATATATAGATAGCAACTATCAGGAGAAGGGACCTGAAAATTTGTAGATTTGATATTGGAACAGGCAGCTGTAGTGGGGGAGCTCTAAAGCTAGGTAATTTTATATGAATTAAAATGAATTATTTACACAATAAGAACAAATATATACTTGTACATAAATGTCCACATCTTTTTTTTATTTAATTGGATATTATACAAACCTTTGTTTTCTTCTTCTCTATAGCACACTTTTGTTTTGTAAAAAATATAGTAATAAAAATATGTTCTCATTGGAAATATATTGACCCTTTCCTTACAGCAAAAATAAATATAGAGAACAAACTTACAAGTAAATAAGTATACATACATGTCTTATCGATATCTTTGTAGTAATAATTGGACTTCATAGACTTTATAATAGAGAGTTCCTCCACACCCGTCTTAGGAAAGCTAACTACACATTTAAGAGCAAGACACTGATGATCTTACAGGTCCCTTCTGGCTCTATGTTTCTATGATTCTATAACAAAGAAAATCTAATGTTAAATGGCCTATTCAGAAACAATGAAGATTACATGAACTTTTGTAAGTGATAGCCTACTGTATTAGATGCTGTGAATGGACCATCTGATGAAGCAGTTTTTCCCTATGACAGTTTATGACTTTCTGAATGAGTTTCTAATGTGCTGGCTTGCCTTCTGTCTGACTTCTGACTAACACTAACTCCAGTCAGAATTTGATGATTCTCTCATACTTAAGAAAAAAGTCTCCCCCCAACCTCCCCATCATCTAAAAGATGCAGTTTTAATCCTTTCTATTTGGCAAAATAATGGTAAAAATGTCCTGGTGGATATTATAGGAATATAGAATTATAAGGGGCTTCCTGGGCCATTAGGTCCAGTCCTCAGCATTTGCAGGCAACCATTTGCTCATGGATCCTCCCAAAATTGACATTTCAAACCCTCATCACCACTTCAAACCATCACATACAACTACAAGTCCCAAAACCAGAAGTGCCAGGATTACCCTATGGGCACATCCCAACATGAAGAGGTGTACATTTCCAGGTGCACAAAAAGCAGTGACACATACATGTGCCACTGCTTTGTGCCCCAGGGTATGCCCCTGCATGTGCACTCCAGTGTATGCCAAATTGTCCTCGGTGGGATAGGGAAGGCTGGGGCCAGTACCTGTGCTGGCCCCAGCAGCCTTACCTGAGGTCCTGGTGACTTCCTGGGGCAGCAGTGACATCTATCTGGCCATACAGATCCTAGCTAGCAGCCACAATGTGGCTCTGGATGGCCAGGCTCATTTCAGGTGGTGCATACTGCTGAGGCATGTGCCATGGTGCTTTCTGTGGTGGGGTGTTCTTTGGGAGGGGTGGGGGGAAGGATGTGGGTTTTTTTGACAGTTGAATGTTTGCCACGTGCAGTTTTCGGTGCCACAAAAGGTTTGAGACACTACAAGCTGCATGCACATGTTCATCTGGACATGCTGTACCAGTGTAAAGGCAGGTGAGACAGAGAAGCTGCCAATGAAATGACAGAAAAATAACTGTTTAATGTCACAGCAGCCGACACTGTAAATGGAAAGTGAGAAAAGTGACACTGAATTTTTTTGGATATGTTTATTAAATAAAGTCTCCAGTAGTACGGGAAACAAAAGAAAAATAGAGAGGTTTCCAGCTACAAAAACTGCAACTCTTCTATAGCATGAACATTCCTCTCAGTTTAATGGAATATGTGCATCCAGACAAGACTAATGCATTTTTTGCAGGGACAGGCAATGGAAAGTCTGTGCACAGAGACTTTGCTTTTCTCTCACTTCATATTCACTCCAATTTCCTAGAGTGGACGGAGACAGCAAATCTGTACAGTACATGAATTGTAAAGTGTGAAAGAAAATCAATGTCAGAAAACAACACCAGTCTACATCCACTGCTGTGCCATTACTTTGCAATCACTCTCATTTAAAAAAAATAAACGATATTAATGATAGGATTATGATGAACGTAGCCTCCATTTGCAGTTAATTCTTTGTTACATATTTCAGTCTTTCCTAGACCTAGTAAAGCAAAGTTTTTGTTTTTAATTCCTCTCCATGGACATGGGTTGTTCCCCCCCTTAATTGTTGTGTAGCATCAGGCATTCTATGCTCAGATTTACTCGCTCTCTCTCACAGGGCCCTGATGTCTCAGACAATAACTAGGGGGTCAAGAGTTTATAACTCTGTTGGAAGTATTGACTCATTGCTTTTAGATCATAAAATCTCAGCCAACTGGACTATGTTTGGCAGGCCAAGGGTGACAAACAGATGTGCTGTACGTGTTAAATGATGCAGACTCTGTAATGGCTTGTTCTGCAGCTATTCTATCCACCCTTGGGAGTCGTCTCATCCATCCACTCATGTCATGCAGTATTCGTGCTATAGTCAAGATATATGTAAATTGTCAGTCGATGGTTCTAACTCAAGTTAGGAATAAATATAACTTAATATTATTTTTATCTGCATGACATTCAATTAGGATTTCTGACATGGGTGGCAGAGGCCAAATTATATTGGTATGATACAATGTTTCACAACAATGTTGTTTAAAAAAAGAACTCCATCCTTCCTGTTAACAATGGTTCTGAAGGAAACCATGTGTTTGGCTTGAGGAACAGTCCAAGGGAAAGGGGACAGAAACAGGGGGAAGGGAAAGAACTATAATAGACATGCATTTGTTATTCATAAAACTTTTACCAACCCTAATTTAGGAACATATGTAGTGATTCCTCTTTCCCCCTCTCCATTGCACACGATCTTTGATTCACATTTGTACCACATACTATTACTTCTCTTATACTATGATGATGCAAAGGATTATATTTAGAGGGATGTCAATCTCTGAGGTGAAATCTAATTGTAATAATAACTTATATTAATCATAAAAAGTCTTTCTATATGTGAATCAAGTTTTCACCACTTGAAGTTCTGGATCCTGTACATAAGGATCCTGCAATTTCAACATATTCTTTCTTCTGTAATAGTGTTACAAATAAATGCACTCTGTGACATAAATGACTAACTCTTGGCACTAAATCAGACAAAAATTTTTACTGCAAATATCTTTCAGACCTCAGATTTCATAGACATTAGGACTGGAAGGGGCTTCGGAAGATCATCAAGTCCAGACCCCTTCCCCAGGGCAGGAAGTCAGCAGGGGTCACAGGATCCCAGCAAGATAAACATCCAATTTTTTCTTGAAGGCATTCAGAGTAGGTGCTTGAACCACCTCCGATGGCAGGCTATTCCAGACCTTGGGGGTTCAGACAGGAAAAAAATTCTTCCTTATGTCCAGCCTGAAACAGTCTTGCAGGAGTTTATAACCATTCAACCTTATCATCCCTTGGGAGGCTCTGGTGAACAATCGTTCCCCCAGATCCTGGTGGTCACCCCTGATAAACTTATAGATGGCCATCAGATTGCCCGAGCCTGTGCTTTTCCAGGCTGAAGAGCCCCATAGCTCTCAGCCTCTCTTCATAAGGTCTGTTTCCCTGACTTCTGATCATGTGTGTGGCTCTTCCCTGAACTCTCTCAAGCTTCTCCACATCCTTTTTGAATTGTGGAGCCCAAAACTGGACACAGTACTCCAGCTGCGGCCTCACCAAGGCTAAGTACAAGGGAAGAATGATGACCTGGGATTTGCTTGAGAAGCATCTATGGATGCAAGCCAGCGTTTTGCTCACTTTACTAGCTGCAGCATTACATTGAAGGCTCATGTTCATCTTGTGGTCAGTGATGACCCCCAAGTCCCTTTCATCTGTAGTGCTAGCCAGCGTAGCACTGCCGAGCTTATAAGGATGCTGCAGGTTTTTCCTCTCAAGGAAAAACCTTGTGTTTTCAGTGTTAAACACCATCAGGTTCTTGTCTGCCCATTTTCTGAGCCTCTCAAGGTCAGCCTGGATCGTCCTCCTGTCTTCAGGTATGGATGCTTTACCCCAAAGTTTGGTGTCATAGGCAACATTGGTGTCCGCTTCTGACTCCAATGTCCACATCATTAATGAAGATGTTGAACAATATGGGTCCAAGGACAGAGCTTTGGGGGACTCCACTGGTCACAGGGCACCATGACAATTCACTTCCATCAACCACCACCCTCTGGATTTGGGAAGTAACTTGATCCCTAGAAGAAGAGTCTAGTTACTATAGTCTCACATAAACCTCATGAATATTAACTAATGCCTGTGTGGTAAAAATAGATTTAACAAAAATCTTATTTTTTATTTCCATTTATAAGTGCAATAGATTCAACGTTGATGCGAGCTTGGAAGGTGTAGATTTACTGTCTGCTGGTATCTTCAAGTTAGTGGAATGTCTTTTTTTCACAGCAGTTTGTTGAAGTTAACAGAAGTCTTTACGGTCTTCCATGGGCTTTGCATCTGACACTAGGACAAGCATGAAATGTCATGGGAGGTCTCTCTTTTGTTTATGAAAGAACCAGGGCATTTCCCAAAACACACTGAAAATGCAGCTTGACCTTGAAGAGAGCTAATTTGTGTGTGTAAAAAGGTAATTCTCTTCTCATGATTATTAAGTGTATTTTCTTATTTAATAGCTGTTGTTTACTTATTAAGTTCTGACATCTTTTTAGCATCTTTGGTAGTGGTCACTTTAACTGGAACTAGATATTCGCTATCAGCTCCTTGTACTTAACTAAATAAATGTTAGATAGCAACTTTTTTTTTTGTTCGTGTCATTGCTGAGTTGGGTCATATTGAACTTATGCCTTAGTGACGTAAGATTATCCTTTTATCCGTTCCTTGAAGAACGGAGGGGCTAAGAGTTGATTCAGAAACACCTGCCTACAATGGGACTTGAATGGAATTTAAGCATCTAAATCCAAAGCCGAGATCCTGAAAATCCCCATTCAGCTACTTCTTCACTTTAATATCCATGGGCATCTCAGCTGTTGACTTGAAAGTTCCATAGTGGAGTCTGAAAAGATATACTCCTGTATGTGTGCTGAAGCCTAGTAGTTCTTATACGGCCGAGCAGCTATCACATGCCTACACTCATTTGAGATTCAGAAACAAGGTATACCTCCACTTAGGAACCATAGAGGCTTGATCTGCAAAGCCATAGCACTGGGCCCCCTAAAAAAAACAACCCCTCCCCCCCCAGCAATACCTACTTTGTTCTAACCATGGCCTTGTGATTTAGAGCATGTCCACTGGTTGTGGTACATCC